ACCATTCAACACGGCGGCCGCGGCAGGCGAAACTGAGCCGTACGGTGAGCGGCGGCAGCTCTCTCCATGGGCGCGACCCTGGCCGGGAGAGCTCAGGCACAGTTCAGCGGGTGGGGGCGGCGGCGCCGGCGGGCCGGTGCGCCGCAGCCTCCGACAGCTGGGGTCGTCGCGGCCTTCTCGTCCCAACTCTGAGCGTACAACTGCAGCGCACGCAGTACTACATTCTTCAGAAAGGTGGGTCCGGTCGGATCTACCGACCGCCTGCATGAAGTGTTTTAATCGTTACGGTGTCGTTACGTTTTCCATTACATCGGTAAGGTAAAAAAAGCCTACATTCACCAACAAGCAAGCACGATTGCAGCAGTGCCACGGGTACTTAAATCGACTAAGAAACTTGACCTACTTGCGCCGTCCAATTTCCGGTAGGTACCTTCCCGGGCATCAATTTGACACCTTCGCACAAAATTTTTAGGTGACCTAAGGTGACCGTAGGCAGTATTTTGATACACGAGATATTCACAATCGCAAATATATTTTACATGACAGGTGCGAATATGTGGGTCAGGCACTAGGCAGCCTGCGGGGCCAGTTTAGGTTATGTTCTGATGAAGGTCAGGTCAGGTCAAGCCGGTCAGGTCAAATTGGGCCAAATTTCAAACTTGATATTTTTGCATAAAATGGGTACCTATTGATTTGAGGCAGCTCGTCACGGGGAGTCTAGGTAATGGTGGTCTTTGTTTCGTGCTATGTGGTCTAGAATTGCTAAAAATTGAGTTCAAAAATTTGATGTAATCAATTTTGAAGTTTTTTTCACTATAACTTGGCCAAAAAAGGAGGCATCGATCTAAAATTTAGTATGTAGAACATAGACAGAACAGCACAGGGACTTTCACATATATTCCACTTTTTATGAAATTCCAAGTTTTTAGGATTCTTTTGTGTTTGAATTTCTTTAAAATCAAATCAATAATGATATCGTTTTTAATTTTTAGGGGTAAAAATTTCAAAATTTTGAAAATCCAAGATACCAGTTTTATAGCAAAGTATTTTTTCTACACGACCACCAGAAGAACTTTGAAATTACTTGTTAACTGTAGCTTTTGTGAGCATTTCAAGATTTCATGTTTTTTGCTCATTTCTGCTCGAACATGATCTCAGTTTGACCTCAGTAACTTCTTACGTGTAAACTACATTCAAAATGTATTTTTTTGTCTGGCAAATCCATCATAAGATACAGAACCAAAGTCCAAAGCATAGCCACGGACCCACGACTGATACCAATACCGCAATACTTCTGCGGTGGATTGTAAGTTGTTCTTACTGTTATCATCAGTAGTATCAGTAGTATTGATATGTTTGGATCCAGTATGCTAATAGTACCGGAATAACAAAATATTACTTTCACAGCGCGCTGAATCCGCGGAAGGAAAAAAAGCAAGTTTGTTAAAAAAGACATAGAATTCAACATTACCAAAAACAAGCAAGACCATTGAGATCATCGGTAAATATGAGATAGATGAGATGAGATAGAGATAGATCGGTAAAATTACCATGACGTCTGATAAACAAAATAAGTTTCAGCGAGATAAATTTACAATATAAAAAGACTTTTTAATTAGATTCACTAAAATATGTCAATTGGCATGCTTTTTATTTTAAATAATCTGGAAATATAATTTTATTTTTGAGGTTTATATTTTTCCTGCTCATAAACGTCATCAAAAGTAGATAAGTATTAAAGGCACCAATCTGTTTTTATCTTTATCCTTAAAGAGCTTCGCTTTTTGCGGCAGTTGTGACGCGCACGTTTATTGTTGGGATCCCTCATTTTTGCACAGGGAATGTTCCTGAATATTTATGTTATTGTTGTTTAATTGCTTATAATTGTTCATACTGGGCATATTCCTGCATTGAGTAGAACGATACGGACTACTAGAGAAAGTTTTTAGTGGCATTATTTGGCTCTCATTTTATTTGACTCGTCAGTTGCAGTCGTCAGTCGTCTGTCTGCTCTGTTGTCAACTCAAAGTCATCGCTTTGGCCTTTGCCTTGGATTTTAAGGCAAGTTTACAGGTTACAGGACTCTGTTTCATGGTACAACACAACAGCTACTGCTGCAGTTACGGCTCTAACCATTCCTGATTTAGTGGGTTATGTAAGAAATGTTAAACTTAATGAAATGCTGTCATTGATGACCTCTGCCGATGATCTGACCTTTAACCGAAACAAAAATAAACTAGTCTATATTGTTTATGGTATTTGATGCTGCTGAGCACCACTTACCCCATGTCACCATGCTGATGCAGCTAAGGAGCCGAGGTAGACAGACACTGAGGAGTGAGGAGGGGTTCAAACATGCTAGGGTCACCTGACCTGACTCCTGACTGTACAGTGTTCGATTTTTTTCAGACTTTTTGGTGGCAAATCACACCTAATGGGGAAAATGCTTTCATCCCTAAAATATGAATGACCGAGTACCGACTTTACTTCATCTCTGAAAAATCTTTTGTGTACCTATTCCCAACAGCCAGTTTACATGCCACTTGACAGTTCATGCACCATGATGCACCCTCATCCTTTTGTTTCACACCATGTGAAGATCCTGACATTAAATCCTGGTTTATCAGTTGGCATAAAAATTGGCATTACACCATTTTGCAAAAAAGTACTCCAGTTATTTACTTCCCTTTTTCTCATCCTAGGATTTTTGTTTCTTCATCGGCACACCCAACCAAAATCCAATTTTAGAACACTGTGACTGTATTTCCCCGGCTCTGCTTGGGTGCCGCAGAGAACCGGCCCAGGGCAGGTGGATGTAGCATTTGAAGGGGCAGTGATCACAATAAAGAACTCAGAACAATGCCAGTGTCTGAGTATAGGTATCTAATTTCTATCAGTGTGCCAAAATGCATTGAGGATTGAAATGCAAAATGCATTGTCTTGCCAGCTGAGTTTTATGAACTACCACTGTTTCTAATGGCCTTCATGCACTGGTATTGGCACTGAATTTTAGAACCATTTGCCTTGTTGCTGGAGAGGTATAATATCAGTGACAATTTGAAGTAATATGGATCATTGAAAAAAGGAAGAAATTGACAAAATCATCTGTCATTTGCACTGTGTATTTGCTTTTCTTAAGAAAAACGCAGAGGCTCCCTTTTCGGTCAAAGAGCTAGTTTTCAAAAGTGCCCTCAGCAGCTCAGTGCTATACGGCTGCGAAAGCTGGCTGTGCAACGACATAAAACCAGTTATTTCACCGATATTGTCAGCGCTAAAGCAGCTATTGTCGGTTCGCAACCAGACATGTACGGACTTAGTTCTGGCGGAAATAGAATATCCAGACACTACCGCTATTGTCAAGGAAGTCCAAAGGAATTTCATCGATAAGTTGACCTCCCGTGAAAACTTTAATACCAGCTCAGCGTTCTTTGCACTAAATTTAGCGAGACAAGCAGGCGCAGGGGCCGGGAAGTATATTGATGCTGTAATGCGATATGAATCTGGGTCTTTTCGAGCCGCCAGTCTGGCGAGTACTCAGACCAGGATTTGTGGATCGACATCTTCGAGAAGAGTCACATACTGTCAGTTTAATCCCCACCTCAAGAGACACCCAATGTATGATAAAAATGTTCCCGAGTATGTGCGTACCGCATTTACTCGAATTCGTTTAGGCTCCCATAGGCTTAGAATTGAAACGGGAAGGTGGGCACGCTTGCCAGCAGATGAGAGGCTTTGTATGTGTGGCGCGGTTCAGACAGAGCGGCATGTGTTGTTGTTTTGCCCAGAAACAGAGCCTCTTAGGGACAGTTTCCCTAACCTGAATTTTAGGGATTTAGAAGCGCTTATGGAGGGAAACATTTTAGATTTAGCAAGGTTTTGTCACATGGTTTTAGATCGGTTCGAGTGTTTTGATCGATGACGTTTTGTTTATTGTGTTATGTTCTAAGCAACCTTTTAGTACGTATAGAAGTCTATGACATGTGTTTTTGGTGGACACGCCTGTCATCTGAGTTTTATCCATATTCATTGTATGTATAATGTTTTTATCAAGTGTCAATAAACTAACTAACTAACTAACTATGCAAAAGTTGTATCAACTCATATGACATCCAAGATCAGTTAGAAATAATGACTTGAAAGCTCAGATTTGTTTTGGACTGAAGATAGGTGTCAAAGAATACCCAGTTGGACACCTTTTGATATGGTATCTGGCTGTAGGGGATCCACGAAGGTGATCTCAGATGCTGTGTGTGGGGGAGGGCTGGCATACCCCAAAAATGTTTCTCCAAATTCCAAAAAAATCCTGTATTTGGATTCCTTACTCACTGCTTTGCAGTCTATAACACACTTTTCCTAGTAAAACCTGTTTATTCTAGGAAAAAGGCACAATTTCATTGATTTCAGGCTCTGCAAAGGGAGCATTTTTTCCCAAATGCCACCCCCGCCCTTCACACTTGAATCTGCCACTGCATCTTACTAACATGTCATGGGAGTCATCAGTCAGCACTCTCTCATCATTCTACCCAAGCAAATATATTCTGCCTTGGGATTTCCAATCATTCATTTTCTATGGTAATTGGTGGTGTCACTTGGCCCTCCTTCGCCCAGGCTTCCACCAGCTCGGGTCCGTCGGGATCCGGGGTCCGCGGCCGGCCTGGAATGTGTTTTTCTCCTCAGTCTGCCTGTTTGTCCGAGTAGACGGCACCGCCGGTGACACGGCAGGGTGGTGCTGGCCCGTGATGCTCGTACGCTCTCACGTCGGCATTTCTAGCGGTTTTGACGTTAAAGCGTTTCCCGGTCCAATGTTCAGAAAATAACTTTGTTGTTACGGGTGACTCAGAGTACAGATAACAGATAGTTTGTCTCAATAGTACCCGACAGATGCATCTTAATTCTTGTTAGAAGTGTATTTTGCGATCGTAACAACGGATTAAGTACGCATGCTCGCACTTTTTTATAATGGTGACAGCTACCAGCTGTCAGCATCATCTATCCCGATTCTCATTTGGTAATTTGTGGTTCAGAAATCTGTTCGGTTTCATTAGCTTTTGAAATACTTACGCCAGCGTTCAATTATTTTTGCCAGAGGGCACTGATCTTTTCTTTTAATTTCATCCTTTTTTCACATGAAATTACGGAAAACTTCTATCACCTACAGACCCCTTTGTATTGAACGAACACAAAATATTTGTATCATATTTTAACTCGGATAAAACCATCGCCAGCGGTGCGATAAGAGGAGGTCCGCCGAGCCGCCGGCCAAGCGAACTCTGTGGCCGCTGCACCGCGCCTCACTCCGGACCCGTTTCAGCGGTGCGTCCAGTCAGACTACAGCAGCAGCGAGCGGCGGTGACGGGCGGTGATGGCTGTACTGAAGCTGCACCGGCGCCGGCTGGGCCAGCTGCTGCTGGTGGTCGGGCTGCTGCTCAGCGGCCTGCTGTTGTGGAACGCCCAGAGCGGCCCCGGCTCCCTCAACGACCAGCTGGAGTCAGCGCGGTGGCGTGACGCCGACCTGGCGTCCCCGGCGGCGGCAGCTGACGAGGAGGGGGACCGCGCGCCCGTGCCGCGGCTGGTCACCGCGCCGGCGCACTGTGCTGAGTGGATCCAGGTCGGACTCATCTTCACCAAGGCCGACCAGCACCCCAAGATGAAGCCCAACCTGCTGCACACGCTGAAAAGCCTCTCGGCGCGCACCAAGGAGTGTGTCAACTTCAACATGTTCACCGACGAGCGCAGCCAGGCGGTCATTGACGCTGTGTTCGCGAAGGCCCAACTGCCGAATCGATTCAAGGTAAGCCACGGCGCAGCCTGCTTGCCTGCTTTGTACCACTATTTATGTTTTACTTATTTATTTTTGTTGCTTTCGCCTTTTATGGATAACAGAAATAATAGTTTATTTGCTGTTGACATTGAGTTTAACGCCGCGCTAGTCGTTATGTTGGTTTTTTTTCCTGTGTTCCTATTTTGCGTGTTGTCTTTCATCCCCGGACGTGTAGCTTACCGTGGCGTATACGGTTTTTGTATTCTGAAGATCACTGACCCTCCGCTTTCCTCTCCCTTCAGGTGACCAGTCATGCGATCGCACCGATGGCCGAACAGATGAAGTCGCTGATCGAGATTCTGCAGGTGCACTTCGCTCCGCGCAAAGGCACCTACTACAACGACGTCCTTTTCTTCCTCACGACTACCATGCACCGCTCGCTGCCGGGCCTGGACCGGCTCATCATGCTCGACATTGACGTGAGTGTGCGTGACGATCTGGCGCAGCTAGCGCGCCACTTTGAGCACTTCTCGTCCGAGCACGTGATGGGTCTCAGCTGGGAGCTGTCGCCCGTGTACCGCCACGTGCTGACCGCCTACCGAGAGCGCACGGGTAACGTGACGGCCGGCGGCGCGCCGCCCGCCGGATTCCCGGGACTCAACAGCGGCGTGGTGCTGCTGGACCTGGCGCGCATGCGCCGCTCGGAGCGCTACAACGCGCTGCTGACTCCGGACGAGATCTCGCGGCGCGTGTCGCGCTATGACGGCTTCAAGGGCCACCTGGGCGACCAGGATCTGTACACCCTGCTGGCGCTGGACGATCCGCAGCTGTTCTATGTGCTGCCGTGCGGCTGGAACCGACAGCTCTGCACGTTCTGGCGTAAGGTGCACCCCGATGTGTTCGATGAGTACTTCCGCTGTGACGGTCCCATCAGCATTTACCACGGTAATTGCCAAACAGAGATTCCCAAATAGGAGGAGTCACCGGTGGCACGGCGAGGGACTGAGCTGAATGGTGGTGTGCACAATTCATGGAACGGGTAAGGACTAGAGTTTCGGACGCACTTTGGTGAACTCATGCAGTGGATGATTCAGTGCACTGTGTGTGTGCGCATGAGTTTGTTGTATCATAACGTTTGTATCATCAGGGCTTAAGCGTGATCTCATTCGAACGTCTGGTCAGTATGCTGTGCCTACCTCTTATAGTTCCTTTAGCAGTCGTTTGGTTCTGCCGTAAACGTAGTGTGGTGCAGTTCGTTTTCGACAATGCCAAGTAGCCTTCTTCCGTGCGTATTACGTAATTCTTTTGCGTTTATTTGTGCACACTTCTCTCAGTTTGTCAAAGCTGGCCAGCTTGTAGAACCAGGACATCTTTGAAGTGAGTGCTTATAATTTCTTTATGCGGTCATTATGTGAAATTAAATTTTAAATATTTCAGGGAATTTTTAAGATTTAAGCTCTATTTTTGTGGTTTTGTGTTGATCTTTAAGGTTCAACTTAGACTTGTGCGTCATTTCATATGCCTTGTGTTATATGTAGTAACGACTCATGAATTTTGCCCAGTGAACTGCGTGTTCCTATCATGTATTGGGATAGCCTCGCGTTACTTCGGTTGTCTTTCTTTTGTAGGCTTATATAGCTGTGTGTACATTGATTCATTCTTTGTCGGTTGTGCCTCGGCTTGTGTTTGTCTTTCTAGGTAATACATATTTTTACATCTCACTGTGCGTTTTTTAGGCTTCTGTATAGGGCATGGATAAATGAACTGCTTATGTAAATCTACGGCACCTACTCACTCAAATCTACACACTCAGGACAGACTTAGCTCTTAGCCTCTCACATCATCTACTCTGATCGGCGTTGTCTCATTGAATGTTCATTGGTACCCCAACCCAACAAGTGCCTAAAAGCTCCATCTGCACGAGCTATCTTTGACCGAATGGCGGATGTCCGCTGGTCGGGGGGCCGGCATGGCGCGGACCCGTCCCCTTTGTAGTAGGCGAGGGGCGATTGCGAGTTGCGACACAGCAGCTATGGCGGACGCTGCCATTTGCACACACGTGTCCGATGCTGGCATTTCATCCGGCTTTTCCGCTGATAAGCTCGGTTGGTATCTGCTCACAAATGTTCGTCGCTCATAGACTCGCCGGCGAGCTCGGCTGCCGCCCTTTGCACACAAGCACTCGCCACCAGTACACGCTCATTCAGGAGCTCCTGAGACACGCAGGTGAGTGGCAATATAGGGACTTGAGGTTTGCAAATGACTGACGAGTGATTCGGACACTAGCTGATTTCTGTCTAGTGTTTGCTTGTTTATTTAAAGCCGAAACAAAGCAAAACACCAAGAAACATTGCAAAGTGCAAACCATCAGATATTGGAATGAGCTTGTCCTTTCTCAATGATTAGGGATCATGACTTTATGTCCTACTTGTGGGATCCGTTCATCGACATTTTAGGGGTCAGTAACTGCAGACCAAAGTGGGATAGCCATTCTGGAAAGGCTTCAATAAACTCAGAAAGAGCTCGAATCGGACAATTTGCTACATGAATTATACGGGGAGGTCAAACATCCTAATCCTGACTTTGACCTGACATTAACATGAAGTCAACACCTGAGTAGACCTCAATGGTGTTCTAACATTAAATTCTAACTAGTCCAGCTAAGGGCGAAACGGCGGGGAAGCGCCCACCCGCTCCGGCCCCTCGGTATCAAAACAGCCTTGTTGAATATCAAGGCCGATTGTTAGCTGTTTGATATCGTTATGTCCCAAATGCCATCTGATTGACGTTTCTAGTTAAGTCCTTTCAGCTCTCGCCCTTCAAACATTGTTATATAGTATCATGACCAGCAATCTTTTTCTTTCTTTTCACAGAACTTGGCAGATTTTCGAAAAACGGAGCACCATAGCCACCAACCGATGAGCACGGCTCACGCCTATGGAAGGAAGCTGACACGCTCGTGATGAAGCGGTTGCTGTCCCTCCCGAGGTCAAGTCGGTGCCGTGGTCTCCACAAGAGGCCATGACCTGTCAGTGGGAGGGATCCGACCTTTCCGCTTCAATCATGGTAAGTCAGTTTGAGACAAACCACACAGACCACGGTCAGGCCACGACTGACTGTATTTTACTGGCAACGGCCAATACCACAGCAGGACCTCCTCAGGTCGCCGGTAGATGGCCAATAGCCATCGAAAATGTGGCAAACATGAAACAACCATCCGTTCTCGAGTTTGTGGGAATAGGTTGTAGCGAATGAACTCCTAGGCTGCAGCACCATCGTCTTCCTGTTCTGACCAGGCTGGTGCAACATTTAGGATGCTGTTCGTCCCTTCTCTCCGTCCTCTACTAGCCTGTCAGCTGGATCATCGAGATTCTGAACAACTGTTGCGTTACTTTTCTTTCGCGGTTTCATTTGTTCCATTTTACCCGCCTCACTACTGCGCTTGAAAGCCATTCTGAAAGGTGTCAATAATAAACTCAGAACGAGTTTCAATCGGACGACGCACGAACGCGGTGCGGGGTACGACGCTCTTACACAGAATAAGCCTCAGACTCAGTGAGCGGCGATTTGCTGCAGCCAACCTACAGAACGGCAATAATACACAAATTAAAACATAGACTCTATACATACGATTCCTCCCGCGCTCACCTGTACTACCTTACCTTACCTTACCTTACCTTACGGTCTCGGGATTTTTAGACATAATGGCCTGTGGTACCCGATCTTATCGAGCTCCTGGGATTGTGGCTTTACGAGATCAATCAGGATCAGGTATGGAGTATATGATGTGGGACCAGTGTGCGTCCAGTCTTGCCTGCATCAACCTCGCCTGCATCAAGCGAGGGTGCATCAACCACCTCGGAGGGCAGTCCATTCCAGTCGTTCACGACTCGGGCGGCAAAGGCCGACCGCCTCACCCTCGAGGCTGCTGGAAACTTCTGGATTTTAAACTGATGTCCCCGAGTAACTCCTCCAGCCAGAACGAAGAATGACCTGGGGTCGGCATCGACCCCTCCGTGAAATAGTTGGTATGTGAAGATCATATCACCTCTCAGTCGTCTATAATGCAGAGATGGCATCTTGAGTTGTTTGAGTCGCTCCGTGTAGGGTTTGTGGCGGATGCTCTCTACCAGCCGGGGTGCCCTGCGCTGAACTCTTTCGACCTGTCGCTGATCCGCTCTGTTGATGTGTAATGTACTCGTGATGCCAGCGGCAGCGCTACCGCCAAGTGCCAACACCCGTGCAATCCTCCGACAGCCGTCTGCCACCCAGCCGTGGTGGTCCAGCTATTGTCCTTACTTTACTTTAGCATCCGATTGACAGGGAATGCATCACCTTTGAGCTCACACGGTGGGTCGCGCACCCTCGTGGGTTGCGGTGTGCAATACACCGTCTTAATTACAAGGTACGTTAATACCTATTACATTTATGTTACGTTAATGTTTTAACTCCGTGACTCATTCATTATCTCCGTCTTTCGTCTCTCGATTCGATGTCTCTCTCCGCCAAACAAGATAAAGATTTCTGTTCCGTTATTATTAACATAAAGCAAGAATAATGCCAAAGGGTGAAACAAGACTGCTTGGGTGAAATATTGTTCGTCTACGGGAAATTATATCGCTTCAGATAAACGCGCAGATTATCCTAACATACCCTAACACGCGCAATCTATACATATTTTACTTTACCTTGCTCCTAGTCTAGCTAGGGAGGCGGGGTGAGCACAAGGCCCCATCCTCCGGGTCAGCGGGACACCTACCTCGAGCGAAGCCAGCACACGAGAGCCCCGATCGGTCGGCGCTCACGCGTTATATTATAACCCAGCTCGAGGCGGGAGTCGGAACGGTCGGCCCGCCGGAGGTGAAAGCCAGCCTCGCGTTCCGACGCGGCGCCCGTCGACCAGGAACACCTATTCCTACAGGCACGGGCTTTACGGATGCATGAGCTTTCATAGACGCTATGCTTCAAACTGTAACGGGCCAAAATAACAAGCTGCTATAATGAGATAATGAAGTTGATGCAAACCCATGATATGCGTCTGATAAAACACCAACAGGTAAAACTGCTGTTAAAATGCTGTTAAAAGACATTGCTAAGTAGCTACATTCTGCAGTCGGTGCCGAAACAAGTTTGACAGATTGCAGGGCCGACAACCGAAAACCGGTGGAGATGGCAGCACCAGTCACAGGAACACCAGGCCAGAGCTGCAGTCTGAAACGAAAGGGTTATTGACGAGACATACATCGCTGAAAGTTGCATCGAACTCGGATGACAGCGCTGAGGGCTGATTGGGTCGGTGGGCGATGTCAGTGACGTCTGTCCACGTTCCACCGGGCGTGTCCTGGGCCAGCCAGAGAACCACCGTCTTGATGTACGTCTGTCTATCTGTCCACATTCCTCCGAGCGTGTTCTGAGCCAACCAGAGACCCGCCGTCTTTATGCAGTACAGCTGGAGACAGCCGACGCTGACAGCTCGCATCTCCGACCGGCGTATGTTTCATTGCATCGTTCATCATGTTTTTAATGGCCTTGAGTGTATTTACCGTAGTTCGCTGCCCGAGCGAGGGGCGAGATCTGACGGACGGTGATCAGCTTTGCCCGCGACAGGGAGGTGCGGTATTCTATTAATGCCGTTTTGCTGCCCTTCCGGCCGGTGGGCACGAGGTGCACCCCGAACCGAGGGATGTCATCCCGCGTCGCCACCGATGGGAAGTTGTGGCGGCCGTAGGGCCAGCTTAGTTTGGGCCACCCTTGCACATATAGGCAGAAGACGTAGTCTATTCCGCCGTGTTTATCACCAGGCTACTTGACATTGACCGGCGGAATCCGGACCCGTGCACATATAGGCAGAAGACATAGTCTATGCCGCCGTGTTTATCACCAGGCTACTTGACATTGACCGGCGGAATCCGGACCCGTGCACATACATATAGGCAGAAGACATAGTCTATGCCGCCGTGTTTATCACCAGACTACTTGACATTGACCGCCGGAATCCGGACCCGTGCACATATAGGCAGAAGACGTAGTCTATACCGCCGTGTTTATCACCAGGCTACTTGACATTGACCGGCGGAATCCGGACCCGTGCACATATAGGCAGAAGACGTAGTCTATACCGCCGTGTTTATCACCAGGCTACTTGACATTGACCGGCGGAATCCGGGAGCTTGAAACAACGGGAGCTTGCACAGAGCAGGTGCACACAACTGCGTCGAACGCTGTCAGTCACAAAGCGCCTTAGACGGCGTGCGCTTCGCATTCGGAACAAAACCATACATCGGTGCGGAGTGAACACTGGCCCGTCACATGAACACAACTGTTCCCTGGTGCCGCCCAGACACTGACAATACACTTCTCCAAGCTGACACCACACTTCTCCGCTGTCTGAGTCTTGATTGCTTTTCGAAATCAATAATCATAGACCGGTCCGAGATGAACGTTGCCCCGTCACATAACTGCCACTTCTCCTAGGCGTCATCGAGCCACTGCCACTGCAATGGTGACAATACACTTCTTCATATGCTGATTGCTGACATCACACTTCTCCGCTATCTGAGTCTTGATTGTTCTTGCAACTCAACTGACTTGACGTTTTATTGACTCAACTCAACAACGCGGTATTTTTCGTCCCTCAAATGATGGAACATAGTTTTCTTGTTTATGTTGCGTCGATAGCAATGTTTTTAATGGCACAATGGACTAATGAACGTTTCCTCTG